AAAAAAAAAAAAAAAAAAAAACACAACAAAATGGCAGTGGTGAGAGTACCAGTTAAGAAAGAATCTGATCTTAGGGATGTGGATATGCTTGCTCTTCAATTCACTGGCATTATGTCAACAGATGATTGTAATTAAAGTTGCACTGTTATGGTAGTTGGAACATAAAGTATATTTGAGATTAAAGACCAGGGGTCCTGGAGGGCCGGTGTCCTGCAGAGTTTAGCTTCAACCCTAAATAAACATCTGAACCAGCTAATCAAGGTCTTACTGGGTATACTTGAAACTTCCAGGCAGGTGTGTTGAGGCAAGTTGGAGCTAAACTCTGTAGGACACTGGCCCTCCAGGATCAAGTTTGGTGACCCCTGCTAAAGACTATATAGATGTGCCTATGTGAAAGTACAGTTTAAATTATTCCATTTTGTTTGCATGACACTAAAGTTTCAGTACAGAATAGCTCTTTTGGCTTTATCCTGAACATTATATAAACATTTATTTTTATGCGTCATTCATGGGAGTGTAAGTCACATCTATTTGGCAACATTCCTGTCACGGCCTTCACATAAAAATCAGTCTATAGGCTTTCATAGACAACGTAGGAAGTTTTTTTGTTTTTTTTTTAAATTTATGAAAAATTCTTAAATATAGCCCCTTTAAATTGTAACATTCACATGACAAAAATGTGAATGTAGCCTTTGTAAAGATATAAAGCAAAAAAAAAAATTAAGTGACTAGTACTTCTGGTTTCTACTAGCAGCAGTATTATTTAGCCAGCTAGTCTCGAGCCTCCCTAGTCTAGATTGGTGACGAAGTAAAGCATTTTAGCAAAAAATAACATGAAAAAATTAAAGCGGTTTGAATACTTGTGCAAAGCATTGTAAGAATGGTCTTTTTTTGCTTGTATATTCTGGTAACAAGTAAATGAGATTGTTTTAAAATTCTTGGCTTACAGGAAGTGTATTTTACCAGTGCATTTGGTGCAAAGGGCAGTAACTTGGCTTTTGGTGCCTATGCCATACAACCATACCAAATTTGCCATATTACTTGTGCTCATCAGATATACACCAAATATGGCTCTTATCATCATTTAGACCAGGGGTCGGCAAGTAAGTTTGACATCGGGCCAAAAAAAAGTTTCATCACTAGATGGCAGGCCAGAACGTAGTCAAAGGATAATTTAAGAAATTAATTGATGAAAAATGCAACTGAATTGCCTGTGACAGACTGTTACAGTGTCTTTTGTAACTGGTAGTGAGCTGTTACTCTGTTAAATCCTGTAGTAGGACAGTCATTAACAATTTAATGTCCGGGTTTTACACTGGATAAATTAATAAAGCAGAGTAGTGACACGTAACCTGGCAAGTATCTTCATTTACCAGCTTGCAACACAGACCGCCTTGCTAAAACATACATATGTGGGAGTTGCGGAATAGATAAAAATAACTCAAAAAATAAGAGGACTTGAATAAGCCCATTAATGGCATGTTTGAGTCATGCTCTTAATGAACTGTTTTATTTCCTCTTTCCATATTGTGAATAATAAATGTGTATCATTTTAAAGGAATACTCCACCCCAAAATGAAAATTGTCATTAATCACTTACCCCCATTTCGTTCCAAACCCCTAAAAGCTTAGTTCGTCTTCGGAACAAAATTTAAGATATTTTGGATGAAAACCGGGAGGCTTGTGACTGTCCGATTGACTGCCAAGTAAATTACACTGTCAAGGTCCAGAAAAGTATGAAAGACATCGTCAGAATAGTCAATTTTCATCCAAAATATCTTAAATTAGTTCCGAAGTCGAACTAAGCTTTTAGGGGTTTGGAACGACATGGGTGTAAGTGATTAATGACAAAATTTTCATTTTGGGGTGGAGTATCCCTTTAAGCTGTTTTTTCCTCTTTCCTGTGCAAAAGTGCTAACGGCAATAGCTAAAGTTTACCAAAGATATTTTCTTTCTCTATGTCACCATCTTGTCCGTTTTTGACAGAGTGGCAGAGTTAGA